CGGCGCGCGCAAGGTGGATGCACACAGAGGAGTAGGTACAGATCCCAGGGTTCCCCAGATCCTCCCATGTCGTCGGGGTTTTCTTCCTCCCCACCACCACTTCCCATTTTTTCTTGCATTTTCCCATCATCATCATCATCACCATCAGCATCATCATCATCATCAACATCATCATCATCAACATCATCACCATCATCATCATCATCATGATCATCATCATCATCATCATCATCATCATCATCATCATCATCATCACCATCATCATCATCATCATCATCAGCATCATCATCATCATCCCCCTCATATTCGTCCACCGTTGCTTGCTCCTCTTCCTGCTCCTCTTGCTCGTCCTCTTCTTTCTCATCACCGTTATCGCCGTCATCATCCTCATCATCCCCATGATCACCCTCATCCTCCTGATCACCATCAGCAACAGTATCAAACGCAGCATCGGCATCACAAACAACAGCATCAGCATCAGCATCATCATCATCACCGCCGGCGCAGCCATCATCACCTAAACATCCCTCAGCCGCAGCATCACCAGCGTCGTCAACAGCTTCGACACAAGCATCATCATAGCCATCCGCACCGCCATCATCTAAGCATCGCCATCAATGTCCTCATCAACAGCAGCAACATCATCATCGCCACCATCATCACCACCAGCACCGTCATCATCATCGGCACCATCATCAGCACCATCGCCATCCTGACCATGAGCAGCATCACAGCTACAATCGTGATCCACATCACCAACATTTTCCGCGTCATCATCACCACCCGTAGCATGACCAACATCATCACCGTCGTCGCTGCTAACATGGACATCATCAGCGTCGTCATCGCCGCCGTCGTCGTAGTCGTCGTTGCCAGCTGATGCGTCATCACCATCATCAGCACCATCACCAGCAGCATCATCATCATCACCACCAGCATGATCATATTTCATCGTCGTTATCGTCAGCATCGTCAGCACCATCCTCACAACTATCATCGCCAGCATTATCGTCGTCGGCACTGCCCTCATCATCCGCACCACCACCAGCATCATCATCATCATCATCGTCGTCGTCGTCGTCATCATGACCATCATCATCCTCGCCATCGTCATCGTCATCGTCTTTGAAAACGCCACCATCACCATCTCCACCACCACCAACATCATCAACACCATCATCGTCGTCATCAGCAGTGTCACCGCCACCATCACCATCACCATCACCAGTCACCATCCCCACCACCACCTCCCTTTCCATCATAGCCGGTATCAGCGGCAAAATCACCAGCAGCATCATCAGCACCAGAATCAGCATCAGCATCTCCACCATCCCCATCCTCATTCTCATGCTCATTCTCCCGCTCCGCGCAAGCGACGGGTCGTCGGGCGGAGGCCGCGGCCGGCGCCCGCGGGCGGGGCCCATGGTCCTCCTCCTCCCCCTCCTCCTCCTCCTCCTCCTCCTCCTCCTCCTGCTCCTCCTCCTCCTCCTCCTGGTCCTCCTCCTCCTCCTCCTCCTCCTCCTCCTCCTGCTCTCGCTCGCCCCCCTCACCATCTCCCACGGCCAACGCCTGACGACCGACCGACCGACCGACCCCGCCGGCGGCCACGCAGGGCCTGGCCGCGCCAGCGGACCGCTGCGCCGCCAGGGCCGCCGCCATGGCGGCGTCGAGCACGCAGGGGCGGGCGCGGGCGGGCGCGCGCGGGGGACCTCCGGGCGCTGCTCGGGAAGCAAAAACAACTACAGTTAAGTCGGACCTGTCCCCCAGACTTTTTTTTCCACTATTTTTGAATTCCCCCATGTAAAAGGACAGGCCCGACTTAGAACTACAGTAGGGGCTCCACCACAAGAAACCTTCCACAAGAAACCCAACCCTGAGACTCAAAGACGCCCATCGATGTTTGATGTTGGAACATCACGCTTTCCATCGCAAAACCGTCGAAACCCAAGAAAGCCAGGGCACCGTGGAGGCGAGCAGGGTATTTCTTGGCATGGGCCTCCACTGTAGAGGCCTCCTAGATGGGGTCGGAGCAAACGGGGTCGGAGGATCGCGCCGCATCGCCGATGCTCTGGCGATGCACCGGCGATGCACCGGCAAGGCATCGGCGATGCATCGGCGACGTCGGCGATGCATCGGCGACGTCGACGTGAAGCACATCGGGCTCCGCACCGCGCCGCATAGGCGATACATCGGCGATACGACACGATCCGCCCAGAACAATGTGGCACGTCGCCGCGGGGGGGCCATCCGCGCGTTGCCCCTCAGATCCGGGCGTTGCAACGCTTCGCACACTGGGCGTGCTCGCCGAGCTTCGGGCCCCGGGGCACTCACACCCGACCCGGGCAGCTGCGCAGCAAGATGGAGTCTGGGGCTCTTGTGGTGATCTGTCTGCCAAGCTGCCATACAGGGCAGTTTGTAATACATGGGATGTTAAACAATATAGGATTTTTAAGACATGATTAATTTATGAATCAATGTATGCATGAACTTATCGTTGTTTTTAATACTAAATCCCTGCATGTAAAAAAAATGATCCGCACGCGGAGCATGTATTATAGACGGCACTGTACTTTTTAGCACTGGCAAACCTGAGAGGTTGTTGAGGAAATACCAGGGGTTCGGACATAAACAAAGGTGTGGCACGCCAATGGGCTGCGGTCGATCTCCGGTCGGCGGCTCCTGGGCGTCCTCTGGCCGAGGCGGCAAGGGCAGGAGAGCGCTGGCATGTGAACCAATGTTCGATCATTCGCGGTAACGCCCGTGAC